AAGGGCCATCGATTCGCATTTTGGAGGGAATAGATCCGGCGCAAGGTACGACAATCCATTTGTTCCTGGTAATCAAGGAAGTGGTTGGAAGTGGTTAAGGTCTTGTGGGCTGATGCGAGAAGTGTGCTGAGACTTGTACCCCGGGGAGGTGCGTATGCTCGATTCTGGAAGAGGGTGAAAAGATAGTCTTGTTCTTCATTAATCTTGGCAAGATCACCAGCGTGTTGCCGGACCAACTCCATAGACTCGCTTTTCTCTTGGATCTGTTGTTGTTGCTGCTGCTTTGGGAATACGACGGTAGACAATTTAGTTCTCTCTTTCTCACGCGCTTTCCGATCTTTGAACCGCATCCTGGCTGCAGAGTCAGGGGTCGCAGTGGACACATCCCGTGCTGATTCTGTAGACTTCTCGGGCAGAGTTCCCTTGTCCGAAGGCGAGACGGGCGTCTTTGGAGGTTCTCCCAGAATCTCAGAAACAGATTTGTGTCTGATAGCGCCAGAGGACACCCTGGTTGTCATTCTTTCCGGTGGAGACGGTACCGGATGGGCTGGCGGCGTCGGTTTCTTTAGCACTGGAGCTGTTTCCGTAGGCACCTTGCTGCTGGCCTCAGCTTGAGGTGCAGGCCCGGCTTGTGTGGAAGGCCGTAACTCATCGGTTGCCTCAATAACTCCGTCAGGCCTCTTATGATCGAGTGACGGAAGAGCCGGTGCCAGCTCGGGCGTTTCTTTCGGCGTTTCTTTGACGTCAGCCGGCGACGTCACAACATTCTCCTGGATGACCTCGCTCGTGACAGTACCTCGGTCAACCTCGTCCGCACTTGTCTTGACCGCAGCCAGGTTGCTCTGTTGGAGTGATTGAGCCTCTTCCAGGCGGAGTTGCTCATCAGGCGTGGAAGGCACCAAGCTAGGCGGTGCCTTGACTGCCTCTTCATCTTTGGGACTTGGAATCTTGTGGGGCGCATCATTCATCTCCTCCGCAGGGCTGGTAGCAGGTGAAACGGGGACTGGCACCGGGGTATTATTGGAATAAGGCCCAGCTGAAGAAACAGGGGAGAGTGGCTGCTCAGGAACCTGGGCGGGCCGGCCCTGAGCGAGGGAAGGCCGTATACCATCCTTCCTTTGAGCGGACGAAAGGTCTGGAGTTACAGATGGCCGGGCATCCACATTGGGCTTTGGCTGTGCCTGGGCTGGGGATGCACTACCTTCACCGATGCCATTGCTATAGACATTTGGACGTGCTTCCGTTGTCAATGTAGACACCTTGTTGTCAGTAGCCGATGGCTGCGCGGGATGCGCTATTGCAGGAGCCGAAACATCAGGCACTTGGGACACCTGAGATGCGATAGCAGGCGCGACTTGGTTAGTTGCCACTCGGTGCTCAGGCTCGTGATCAGGAGGTCTCTGTTCTGTGACTTTCTGATACTTCGGCTGGCGCTCAACATCATTGGCAATGGCCTGCGCAGCAGCACTCTGGGCTCCCAATTGCGGGACGGAGGCCGTAGCATCGTGAGATTTGGCAGTCAATTCCGCTGGCACCGGTCGTGTCGCCGCAGCTGTCTCCTCTGCTTCCCTGGCTTTGCGCGCTAAAATGGACGCATAGTCTGGTAATGGTGGGAGTGTAGCTGGATTGAAATAACGACCTCTGAAAACAGTTAACGTATGCTTCTCAGTAAAGGTGGAGATACATGAAAATAGTTGGGAATCCCACAGATTGGGGCGGGTAGATAAATTGGAAATAGTTTGGACATATGAAACAATAGCTATATGAGTGACTTTGATACAGGCGACTTACTTTGAGAGATCGTTGGCGTCGAGGAACGCCTGTTCCTTGTGGTGATAGAGCGAGTCCGCCGGAGCGTTCTCGGTCGCGCCCGCGAAGCCTACGGTCGCAAAGTAGAGCTCGCTCAGTTTGCGCTTCCGCGACGACAAACAACGTCTAGGATTCCAAGTAAGCGATAATTCAATATCGCAAAGACCAGGGGAGTAGATTGGATCGCTGGGAAAAATAAAATACGTACGCGATCTCATCTTTCTTAGACCGGAGAAGCTCGTCACGGAGCATGGAGTCTATTTCGGGGAACACAGCATCCGATTAACGCGCTAAAATTAAGGGGAGTGGATTGAGCGAAGTCATCCAGATGGAAAAAATCGCTCAGAAATGATGAAAAGGATGGGGTTGTGTTGTTATGGGATGCAGAGGACACGACGCGAAGATTTCGCTGGGAAGGGATTTTTTGGGGGGTGTTAGTGGTGATGAGACTTCTGGACGGGTAGTATGGGAGGAACTTTGGTTGGTTGGTTGGAGGATTCTGGGTGAGTGCCGGGAGCAGCAGAGAGCGCCAGGTTTGGGTGTTGGTACTGCGATGGGTGGTAGTAGGCGGGTAGGAGTCCCCTAGCTATTCCTTAGATTCCTTACTAGGGGCGATAGTCCACCATTCCATGCCTGTTCCTTATGTAGGTATGATGTGAACCGCTGAATGGCTGGCCACCAGAAAAATGAAGGCCTGAGGCAGCAAACGAGGTACGTAGCGCCGGCGGCTTCCTTTCGCAGTTTTCTGTTGTTGCTCCCTTGTTGTTTTCTCTCGCGCTCACCCGAGTGATTGCCGCATTCAGACCCGCTGGACACCTTAGGCACTAATGGCTCGGAAAGACGCGTCTCACCGCCCCGACTCGATGATAACGTCCGGCAGAAAAAAAAAGTTGCCCGCTCAGATAGATGGTCTTTGATAGTTAGTCTGCAGAAGCAAACACATTCCACACCAATTCCATTCTATTAAACAGACCACAATCATGGTAAAGAGAAAGAGAGACGAGGCGGCCAAGGACCGCCAGAGCTCTACGCAGCCAGCCAAGGTTGTCAAGGCTACAGACAGTGAAAAGGCCCCTTCCACCTCAACGGCTGACGGTCCGTCAATCACGCTGCAAATTATCACCGGTTCCTACGAAAAGGTTCTGCACGGCTTCACCGCTGCTGTTTCACCTACCTCTTTTGCATCTAAGGATACGGATGAAGATGGTGATAAGTCCAATCTTGTACAATTTGTGGATACTTTCCTGTTTGAGGCTCATACATCTGCCATTCGCTGTCTCGCCTTGTCACCATTGCCGAAGGCTGATGCAACAGAAAACGCTCAAGTTATCCTAGCCACTGGTGCTACGGATGAGCGTGTTAATCTTTACTCTCTTTCTGCTGCTCCTGTTGCAGTGAATGACTTATATCCCACCGTACCGACTCTCGCGGGCAACAAAATCCTTGAGAATCCCAAGAACCGCGAGCTGGGCACACTGATGCATCACTCCGCTCCGATTTCGGCTTTGGAATTTCCCTCCCGATCAAAGATCCTTGTTGGTTCTGAGGATAATACAATCTCCGTTACCAGAACTCGGGATTTCTCCGTTGTATCCACCATCAAGGCCCCTCGTCCGAAAGTTCAGGGTAGGCCAAGCGGTGACACAGCACCCCCGGGAGGCACCCCGTCCGGTGTCAATGATATCGCTGTCCATCCTAGTATGAAACTGATGCTGAGTGTGGGCAAGGGAGAAAAGTGCATGAGGCTCTGGAACCTTGTTACAGGGAAAAAGGCGGGCGTGTTGAACTTCAACCGAGAGATTTTGCAAAGCGTCAAGGAGGGCAAATGGAGCACTGGAGAAGGAAGGAAGATAGTGTGGAACTCGAAGGGTGATGAATTTGCTGTGGCATTCGAGTGGGGTGCAGTTGTCTTCGGCATTGTAAGTTTGATGTTGCATATCCCCCATTGCAAGGGCCATTCTTTAACATAGTATACAGGACTCCACTCCCATTTGCAGGGTTTTCCCCAGCCCCCGGAGTAAGCTTCACCAGATGAAGTACGTCAACCCAACGCCTTCTTCCGATGACAGCGATGAACTGCTTGCTGTCTCGACGGAAGATGGTAGGGTCATTTTCTACTCTACTAAGCAGGTTCAAGAGGCGACAGAGGAGGATGATTCGCCCATCCCCTATGCGGAAGCTGTTGCTCAGCTCGGCGGTAGAGCAGCAGGCTTCCCCGGAAGAGTGAAGGACTTCGAGGTCCTTGATCTAAATGGTCAACGAGTTGCTGGAAAGGATAACCTTCTGGTAGTAACAGGAAATAGTGAGGGCTTGGTCCGTGTTTGGCTGCTGCAAGGAGCCGATCTGGTCAAGAAGGATACAAAAGGTACCAAAAAGAAGTCCGCCGAGACGGAGAAGAAAGTCATCCAGGTTGGTAAGTTCTTGAATGCCTATGGCACAGGCAACCGAATCACCTGCCTCAAAGCATTTGTGATGCTGGCTCCTGAAGATCCTTCGACGCTAGAGGATTCGGAAGAGGACTATGATGAAGAAGTGAGCCAGGATGAATCCTCCAGCGAAGAGAGCGATGAAGAATAGGTTTACCGCTTATTTGATGATTGTCTTACTGTATATACCCAACCCTTGTTGATAGGCAAACGGATGTGTAAAATCATACCATTGCAGTCTTCCATTATCTAGAGGTGCTTTCCGTATCACTCCCCCACAACTCTCCCTACATTACGAATGGTCACATTACCGACGTCCCATACAAACTTCTGGACCCTTCACTGCTTCGTGGTAGTCGCTTTTGACGTCTGTACGAGCCCCTGTATGCCATGTTCGTCACACAGGTCGACAAATTCGTATTCTCATTGAGCCATTCCACTTTAGTTCGACAAGTATAAGCATGGGCATCAATACAGACGATGAATATCTTTCAGTATTAATTCAAGTAGGTGCGAGTCGATCAACTGAGAAAGTGAGGTTCATTTTTGGCAAAGAGGTGAGTCAGTATAAATCCTGCCGCCGCCCACCGCCCACTCGCTCTCCACTGCACAAATCACAACCCCACTGGCCGAACCGTATCATATCGCCTCCGTCCTCAAGCAGCAATTTTCATCAGACAACACGACCCTCGCCCCTCGCCCTCTCCACCCCCCATCACCCCCCTTTTCTAGAACCGCTGTTGTCTCTCGATTTCACTAGCAATTATGGCTGCCAACGGCGACTTCTCTGACGACGAGTCCCAGCCTGGATCCCCCATGCTCGATGCGAACGGTCACGATGACATCGAAGAGCAAGAGCCCCTCGACCAGGAGTCCAAGCCTCTGAAGTCTGCGATGAAGAAGGCGGTTCCTCCTCCCCAGCCCAAGCGGCCAGAGCTGCCCGAGCAGCCGAATCCGGAGACTCTGGACCTGTCCACGCTGACTCCTTTGACCCCCGAAATTATTGCGCGCCAAGCCACAATCAACATTGGCACCATCGGTCACGTCGCTCACGGCAAGTCGACGGTCGTTAAGGCTATCTCCGAGGTCCAGACTGTCCGTTTCAAGAACGAGCTGGAGCGAAACATTACGATCAAGCTGGGTTATGCCAACGCGAAGATCTACAAGTGCGACAACCCCGAGTGCCCTAGGCCGACATGCTTCAAGAGCTTCAAGAGTGAGAAGGAAGTCGACCCGCCTTGTGAGAGGGATGGCTGCAGTGGCCGCTACAGACTGTTGAGACATGTGTCGTACGTTGAACCTCAGAATCCTGTGTAGTCAAGTTATTTTATGCTAACTCAGAGATCGAAATTAGTTTCGTCGACTGCCCCGGTCACGATATTCTGATGAGTACTATGTTGTCTGGTGCCGCCGTCATGGACGCTGCCCTTCTCCTTATTGCCGGAAACGAAACTTGCCCTCAACCTCAGACTTCGGAGCACTTGGCCGCCATCGAAATCATGAAGCTCAGCCACATTATCATTCTGCAGAACAAGGTGGACTTGATGAGAGAGGATGGTGCCCTGCAACATTACCAGTCGATTCTGAAGTTCATCCGTGGTACCGTCGCCGATGGCTCTCCGATCATTCCCATCTCTGCACAGCTTAAGTACAACATTGATGCTGTCAACGAATACCTGGTTTCGCACATTCCGGTCCCCGTCCGCGATTTCACCGCTTCCCCTCACATGATTGTCATTCGTTCCTTCGATGTGAACAAGCCCGGTGCCGAGATCGAGGAGCTGAAGGGTGGTGTTGCCGGTGGTTCCATCTTGACTGGTGTTTTGAAGCAGAACGACGAGATTGAGATTCGGCCCGGTCTGGTCACCAAGGACGAGAATGGCAAGATTCAGTGCCGTCCCATCTTCTCTCGGGTCATGTCCCTCTTTGCCGAGCACAACGACCTTAAGTTTGCCGTCCCTGGTGGTCTGATTGGTGTCGGTACTCGCGTGGATCCTACTCTGTGCCGTGCTGATCGTCTCGTTGGTTTCGTCCTTGGTCACCGTGGACGCCTTCCCGCTATCTACACCGAGCTGGAAGTTAACTACTTCTTGCTTCGTCGTCTGCTCGGTGTCAAGACCGCCGATGGCAAGCAGGCCAAGGTTGCCAAGCTTACTAAGAACGAAGTTCTCATGGTTAACATTGGTTCTACGGCTACCGGTGCTAAGGTCGTGGGTGTCAAGGCTGATGCCGCCAAGCTCAGCTTGACCAGCCCTGCTTGTACCGAGGTCGGAGAGAAGATTGCCATCAGTCGGAGAATTGAGAAGCACTGGCGTCTGATCGGTTGGGCCAACATTGTCGCGTAAGTCTAAAGCTCCGCCCCTTACACTCCCCAAGATTTCTTCCCTGCTCTGAGAGAATGACGTGATATTAACTTTGGTCATAGTGGTAACACCCTTGAGCCCATCCTGAACTAAAGAAGTTATTGCCCGCTTGGATGGCCAGGCTTGTATCCACCAGATTACGGCTGGTGGGGACGTCAAAGAGTCTCTGACACCAAGTCTTGGCAGGGTCAAGTCACGAATGAAGTAGAATGGTTTGCAGTAGCGAAAGGGGGTGTCAGTTAACTCCCTGATTAGAGACCACAGGGAGCCTAATCGTCGCCTATTCCACCTGCTGATGATTGCGAAGAACAGGAGATCGTGAGTATCCTCCACGATAACCAGTTGAAATATTCGCAGGATCGAGGAGGCCGGGCAAGCAGCAGGATGGGAAGGCATTTTAGAAGATCAGGTGGCATGGCTGGAGTTGCGCAGACCACTTCTTTGACGTGTGTTACGACGCTTGTGGAAAATATTTCTTACAATTTTTTTTTCCTTTTTTGTTCATTCTTATTATTCGGTCCGGCTTGCATGGCTCTATGTAGATGCTGTATAGGGGAATGATGAACGCAACGAAATAAAAGTCAGAATTTCTTTGATGTCCAATACGCCGCTATTGAAAACAAGCATAAATGGGGAGCTGAATGAAGGAGTTGTTTGTTCTGCTGCGGCCTTGCCTCCGAGGCTACCGCGGCGGTTGACTAAGGCGCGGACCAGCTCCTCTTTTAACTATTCTCTTACTCCCCCATTCATTGCTTTGTCCGCAACCAAAAGGCCACATCACAGCAGGCTCAATTTCAGGCTGCTGTAGTGTTGTGGGTGTCGCAATGTATATCCTCGAGGTAAAGTTCCCGTACAGACCTCTTCATCACCATACTAGAAGTTCATTTGGTCTTCCCTTCTAAGCTTGAAGCTCCAGCTAACTCGGGTCATCGTGGCCGTTACAGCAACTGGCGCGTTTCCTCGACCGCCCATTCATCCCCTGGAAGAATGTCCTCGTCGGATTTTCTCTAGGCCAATTTCTTATGGAGGGCTTTCTGTCTCTCCGTCAGTACAAAGTGCTGCAACGAACAAAGCCCCCGCAAGTATTGGCGGGCGAGGTTTCCCAGAAGGTTTTCGATCAGAGTCAGGTAAGCATCTCTACATGAACTCAGCAACCACATCATACTGATCAGACGTTTCCGGGCTCATTAGTCCTACGGTCGCGCCAAAGCCAAATTCGGTCTTTTTGCAGGTCTTTACGGTCAAATTCAAAATCTTGCTTTCATCTATGGCGACATTCTCCCCAAGCTTTGGGGAGTCAGCGGTCTCCTGTTGGCACAATACTTTCCTTCTCGGTTCCAAGGTGAAATCTCGCAGACGCTGCTATTTGTCTTCGGATTCAACCTGATCAGCACGGTTCTTTCTCTTCCCATCTCGTACTACAATACTTTCGTCCTCGAGGAGAAGTTTGGTTTCAACAAGCAGACTTTCAGTCTCTGGGTTACGGACTTGCTCAAGGGACAGATGCTTGGTATCGTACTTGGAACACCCATTATTAGCGCAGTTCTCAAGATCATTCAGAAGACCGGCAACTCCTTCTTCTACTACCTGTGGCTCTTTGGCGTCTTCCTCCAGATCTTCGCTATCACCATCTACCCTATTGTTATCCTGCCCTTGTTCAACAAATTGTCGCCCCTTGAGCCTGGTGCCATCAAGACCGGTGTCGAAAACCTCGCTAAGAAGCTTAAGTTCCCTCTTCAAGAGCTGCATGTCATTGACGGCAGCAAGCGGAGCGCACACAGCAACGCCTACTTCTATGGTCTCCCTTGGAAAAAGCACATCGTCATCTACGACACTTTGATCGAGAAGAGTGAGCCTGAGGAGGTTGTTGCAGTCCTGAGCCATGAACTGGGTCATTGGAGTCTTAGCCACACCACAAAGCTTTTTGGTATTGCTCAGGTATGTTCCTGGGTCACAAAGCAGACCAACCACTTCCTTATGAATGGTCCGAATAGTATAACGACAGGCTGACCTGTACTAGTTCCATATGTTCTACATTTTTGCGCTCTTCTCCGCATTCGTGAGCAACAAGTCTTTGTATCAGTCGTTCGGCTTTTATAGCCAACAGCCCATCATGATCGGATTCCTCTTGTTCTCGGATGCTCTCGCACCGATGGATGCTGTTGTCAAGCTTTTGATGAACATCCTCAGTCGCAAGTTTGAATTCGAAGCTGGTAAGCCTTCAAGACCCTTGACTCAGAACCGCGATTATGGCACGATACTAATCAAACCATCAAGATGCCTTTGCTGTCGGTCTCGGTTATTCTGAGCAGCTGGCGCAATCCCTTCTCAAGCTGCAGATCCAGAACTTGAGCACCATGGACGCTGACTGGATGTACGCAAGCTACCACTACTCTCACCCTATTCTTTCCGAGAGACTCAAGGCGCTCGGTTGGAAGGGTGGAAAGGTTACCGCTCTCAAGGAGGAGGATAGTGAGAAACCAGTTAAGGCGGCTGACCGCGAGCTGTGAAAAGTTGACATTCTAGTGTCTCCTTTCTTTTTCTGGTATGGTGTTACAGGGCCGGTTGAGTGGAGAGGCCCGCCGGATATGGGCTTCTGAAGGCATATTCAATTGTTAATGGATTTTTGAGTTCTTATCACCGGTTATAATAAACCAATCGTAATCGTCTTCCAATGGATTATGTTCGCCTTGAATGCGCCAATGCAATATGCACAAGTCTAATATATCTTGGGAATCCAAGACAAACAGCAAGAAAAACAAATCCCGTAGCAAAGCTGATGCAACCCATAGCAAAACCTGCGCGCAAAACAGTAACTTTTATTTCGCTTTCATTCCCTACTCAAGCGTCCGACTTGGCCTTCGCTCTCTTCTCTGCAAGTCTGCGCTCCTTCTTCTTCCGCTTCCTTTCCTCTTTATCGAGACCCGCAGCGGTCTCGGCGTTCTGCTCTGTCTCAACAGCATCCATATCCATCCGGACATCGTCATCATCATCGGCAGCAACAACCTCCTCTTGAAGCTTTTTCGGGTCCTCCCACCCCTCATTTCCGGCCTCTGTCTGCTGCGCATTGCCCTCCTCTCCAGCGCTGAGCTTCGCAAGAGCCAGATCCCTGCCCAGAACTTCGCCAGCAAGGCCAGCCTGAACGCGCTTCAGGTTGTGCAAAATGAGGTTGGGTGCGGCAGCCGTGGTGCGCGAGGTCGGGCCATGTTCGCTGATCCCGGCATTAGGTTGGAGGGCGGGGTCTGTGGCGGCGCGATCGAGATAGGCGGCTAGGAAATCGTGCGCGGCAGCCTGGGAGATAGGCTTGGAAGAGAGGATGGTTGTAGGGGGTAGCGGAGAGGGACCCTGGGTGGCCATTGTGGTATATAGTGATAAGTATTGTTTCTCGACTTGTCGCAGAAGTGTTCAAGTATATGTAAAGGTTTGTAATCGGAGTAGTGCCCCAAATGTCGAGAAGGGTTATTCGTTCAGTAATAATAGCAACCTTCCGTACTCAGTTGTGTCAAAGTAGGTAGAACCGGTTTATTTCGTTATTGCTCGTTTATTGCACCAATTGAGCAGATATGGAGAACTGTAGATGCGCTCTTGCATCGTCCGGCGGAGAGAAAAAGTCGGAGGTGGTCCGTGCACTGCGGCGCCGGAGTTCAATTTTCAGTCCTCCGTCACGGACAACATCTCGCATCCCTCCATCGCCGTCCCCAGGTTTCTGCGTCAGCGACGTCCAATTACGCCTCACCGTCGTCTTCAACCTTCTCACCAATATGCTTTGCCTTCGGTGTACGGCTCTGCCGACCGCTTTCAGGTCCTTTGCGGCCCCAGCAACCAGGTACGTCCGTCCGAGTCTGGCACCCTGGATCCAATGAGACCACACATCTGGGCTCTGTATATGGTCCGATTCCTCAATCGGGACAGGCAAATCGTCAGGGGAAGCTCTGGCACCTTAGGCACTTAATAGCATGGATGAATGAAATGTCTGACTTAAGTTGATTCACTAGACTCACCTCCGCACCGCTCACATCCACCGCAACCTCTCTATCAACGCCGTTCCGTGCCCTCTCCTCCACGACCCTCTCCTCGCTCCGCCTCCCTCAACAACATCTCCCCTCTCAGAGCCTCATTACCTCTTCTTCCACCACTACTATCCGCTCTCTGCTCTCCACCAACAACTCCTTCGCAAACCAACAGACCCGCTCCTTCTCCGCTAGTGCCTCGTTGGGCGGAAAGCGCGATACCTACAACCCCTCGCGGAGGGTGCAGAAGCGCCGTCACGGATTCTTGGCTCGGTTGCGCTCGCGAGGTGGACGGAAGATTCTGTTGCGGAGAAGGGCTAGGGGGCGGAAGTCGCTGAGCTGGTAGATTGGAATGCGTTGTTTGGTGGTGATGGGTTCCTCGGTTTTTGTTCAATCTCATATTGTGTGTGGGCTGTGTACTATGACGTTTATTGCTCTTTGATTTTTGCGGTATCTGGATTTACTTTACTTATGGGGAAGTTCGGTGATGCGTCTTGTGCTTCCTGTGCCCCTCAGAGGAGGATGACATGAGGAGATTCAGCTTGGAATATGCCGAGCGGACCCTGCTCGCGTTCCGGGGGTATCCTTTGCGTTACTGGGACGGGGGTGGTATGAGTCTAGGGGTACTATCTAGCTACCATTAATAGGACGTTGTCCTATGTGTACCATATACATATTTATACATAGATATCTCATTGTCACGTGGTTTGGTTTATTTACGTGGAGTGTGGTGGAGTCAGGGTGTAGATCTAACATCTGAGGTTAGCTATATTTCTCTCACAAAGATCGAGAGATGGAAGCTGTCTGGTACAAAAGGCTTGAAGCAGTGAAGAACAAATCATGTCACTAAGAGACCTAAGGGCCAAGTAATCTTTAGTAGTGGCTGAACGCAAAAGCATCTGCCAGCACTGTTTACTACAACAGGCAAGGAGAATGGAGAGGAACGAAAACATATTCGTGAAGTATTTAGGATGGTACATATAACAATTGCCGCAAAATATACCTGCCAAGGTCTGGTAAGTGTCAATAAACTACATCATTCAGATTAGGTTCAAGTCTCTGGTTGTTGACTGGCACTTAAATTGAACAATATATCATTAACTTCAAAAATCATTTGCGTGTCTGCTCAGTTGGAAACATCTCTAACAATACAGATAACACGGGTCGGCATATTTGTCCCAGACTTTCAGTGTCCCTTAATAGAGGTGGCTGATCTTTCGATCTAGGTGCTATCTAGGGATTGGCTCAAATATATCCTGTCATGTCTAGTGGTCGTCGTGTGTATGGCATCACTCATCATCTTCGTCATCCTCCATGTCTTCATCGCTGTCGTCTTCGTCTTCAGATCCGGTTTCGTACTCATCATCATCGTCGTCGTCAGACTCCTCGTCCTCGTCATCGCCGACCTTCAGTCCATAGTCATCTTCGAATTCCTTGAGTGGCTGCACCGCTGGCGTGAATCCCGATGCCTGGAGACCTTCCTTGATAGTCTAAGCCGACAGTTAGTAAATGACACACGAGAGTATGATAATTTCAGGGAAAACAAACCTCCTCAAGCACTGTAGCGCAGGTAACTACGATATTCGCCGTGGATGGGTTGAACAAAGGCAGAATGATGCTCTTCAGAGCACCCTTCACATCATCAACGCTAGTAGCCCGCACCTGCTTGAGCACCCGCTCTTTGTAGTCGCTAGGTAGGCGCCGAATCACCTGTCGAATGAAACTGCCTGAGGCTGCGGCACCAATGGTCGATTGTTCATTCGCAAAGCTAACAACAATGCTGCTAATGGAGCCCTCCAGCATCAAAGGATCGAACGGCATCGCACCAGAGAGATGATCCTCAACAATCTGTTTGCTTGAGTCGAAGGCCTTATGGGCGTTGGGAGAGCGATAAACGTCAAAGTTGACGAATCCGGTGTCGATGTTGTAGGCGAAGTTCGTGCCATATGCCAAACCCTTGCCTCGAACCGCAACCCAAAGGGGTCCCTCGACCGCATTCATGTATGCGATTGCAACCATCAAGGCAGGAAGTCTTGGATCATCATACGAATCCAGACCCCGTGCAGTTGCATATGCGAACGATGAATCAATCGTCGGCATAGGGACCACATACGACTTGCCGCCCAATTTCTGACCAGCCTCACTGAGCAACGGTCTTCTAGCCGTGATAGGCTGCAGAGGGGCACCTGCACCCAAACGCTCAGCAAATGGTTTCCATGCTGACACAGGGTTTTGAAGTTTCTCCAGGTCAGCGATGACCAGGACTCGCATGTTCTCGAAGCGGAAAAGCGCGTCTCTGATCTCTTCCATGCGCGCAACGACAGACTTCGGCTCTTCTGCCAGTTGCTTCTTGATCCGTTTCAAGTAACGCGCCTTCACCAAGGTGCTCCGAGCCCGAACAATAGATTCTGCCGCGTAGTGGACCATCACATGAACAGCCGCGAGCATGTCATCACCACTACGCTTGGAATCGGGCACATCGGAAAGCAGTCGGCTGGTAATCGCTCGGAGTCGCTCGACATCGAAAATCGAGTTCCAAGAAAGTTCCTGGATCCATGCAATCGCCGTATGATACTTCTCAAGCTCCACCTGGAATGAGATCCGCAGCATCTCCGAGTTTCCTAGGCTTCTGGCTCCTTCCATGGAGTAGCCAACTGTGTCCCTTTCCAATTCCACAACCACCTGCTCAAAGTTAATGGTTTCCCCATTCCGGTTGACAGGCAGGTTGAAAAACGCCTCGGTATACACGGACAGCAATGGGCGAAGCTGCACAGGTACGGCCTGCGCCGAGATGAGAAGGGAGAGCTGCACGAAGCTACTGGGGATATGCTCAAAATGGATGAACAGGGGCAGATCGGATCCATCAGCATCCACCAGTTTTTGCGCCTTGTGGGACGGGCGTCCGGCATCCAGGGCTGCACCGGACCTGGCTGTAGTAGTGTCCACGAAATGGATAGACTCTACTCCGGGAATTTGGAACCTCTCCAGCATCTCCTTGGGGATCTCCTTGTCATTTTCAGCTTTAGCTTTCTCCAGCTTGTCGGCCAGCTTCTTCAGCCCTTCCTCACCCAAGCGCTTCTTTTGCTCTGCGACTCTAGCTTCTTCTTCCTTCTTCAGTGCGTCAGACATTTTGACGGACGGGACACCCAGGATAGTGACATGGTTGGCATCAGAAATCCACGTCTTGATGAAAGTGCGCCATTGTGCTTCACTCCACTTCTCCAACACGTCATATTCTTGCAAGGTCGCAACATCAAGCATAGTCGATCCGTCCCTCTTTCCGAAAAGGAAATCCGAGATCACGTACTCCGCAAAGGAAGAAGCGGAGCTTTCAGTAGAGAACTTCCAGGTCCGCCTTTGCCGGTCAATGCACTCCTTGATATATCTCATATCCAACTCCTTCTCCATAGCATCCTTGAGCACTTCGAAAAATCGTTGCTCTACCTTTGCCAGTTTCTCTGTCTCCACACTGGTCAAAGTGAAGCGGATCTCAATACTGGGATGATCTTCGGTAGCATAATAAACAGCACTGGCGAGCTGCTCCTTCTCAACCAAGATGTTGTCCAAGAGGGAAGCAGATGAACCGGCCAAATACAACAATGCAACATTAACAGCCCCGGCTGTTACAGTGTAAGTATCACTTCGAAATGAGGGAACTGGCGAAACACTCACTTTGAACAGGATCGGTACAGTCCGGACCGAGGAATCTAATCTCTATCTCTCCAAAGGATTCATCTTCTTCCGGGAATTCCACAGTCTGGACAATGGACTTCTCCAATGGCGGGGCCTGCTTGGAATCTACCCACGGTCTCTTGAAAGGTGATTCAGGACTGGGAATGACATCTAGAATAGTATCTTCAAATTTGTCCAAGGTCTCCAGCATGTTTTGGTGATCTACTTCGCCTGTGATAATCAGGCATAAGTTCTTGGGCTGGTACATCTCACGATGGAACGCTCGGATACGATCCGCGGTGAGTACACGGAGCTGCTCCATCATACCGCCTGTCTCGTAGCGGAAGCCTACACCATGCGGGTAAGTCAATCGACGAGCGGTTAGATCGATTAACTCTGCAGAGTTATTCTGCACACCCTGCATCTCCGAGTAGACGACTCCGGCGTCGTCACCGGAGCCGTCAATATGATGCACTTCGGTATAGCACCCTTCATCTGTCAGTGTTGGAGCTATAACATGCTCTAGGTACACGGGTAAGATTTGAGCAAATCCTTCCCAGCCTGCTGTGTCCAAGGTGTAGGCCGTGTGATCTGTGGCCGTCCAGGCATTAGTGCTCGAATAAACACGTGTTGCCAGCTTGTCAAGGAAGCCCTTATATCTATAGTTGCGAGAGCCCATGAAGCACAAGTGCTCCAATGTATGAGGAGCACCCGAGTCATCGAGAATCTCAGTGGCTAGAACAAAATATCCTGTGACTTTGGGTCCTTTTTGGTCAATGACCACTACCCTCATGCCTGTTCTCTCCGATTCATACTGAGCAAACTCGCTAGGCGAGTACTCCGGCTTAAACTTCTGGAGTAGCTTGAAATGGCTGTTTTGGGTAGATGACATGTTGCTCAATGGTCTCTGGAAATGTGATTTATAACCAATTTCTGCGATCACACCCCGTAGTGATAATCTGAAAGACTGTTAGTATTCCATAGACCAGAAACGCAGATGTCTAAGAAGCAAGTATAACAGTTTTATTCATTTCAAAGAAGCTAGCAATGCTTGAGGTTCGGGATGCGGGGAACTGAAACGGGAAAAGCACCCATTCCATGTCTGAAATACCAATAGCAAGAACAAGGGAGTTGCAAATTGTAATAATACGACATCACGGAGACCATGAAGCATGCTGTATGACTGCGCAAAACTGTGGCAGCCAATGCAAGGCTGCCAGTTGAGGGATTGGATGTTCAATACAGACGACGACGGAGGGGCAGTCTCTTTTCTTGCTTTTTTTTTATTCGATGGAGTTCAGGGCTGGCACTAGCATGGACTCACATGGATCGAGAAGCGTTTGCCCGAATCAGGCTTCTCAATAGTAACTGAGACAACACGATGGGCTCTGCTTGACGCCGGTTATGATTGTTTCAGGAATTTTCAGGTCACACAGTTGGCCGCTGAACGAAGAGGTTACCCTCCAACTGTAACGGTTCAGAGTGGAGTAGTTCAGGTTCCGGTCCGATAGAGCTCACCACACCAACAGACACTTCACGAAAAGACAACCCGGATCTAGGTTTGAAGAAATCTTCATCGAACAAAAAACGAAGAATATACTTGCAGATAAGACAACTAAAAAAAATTAAAGTAGAACTTAAAAATGGTCTCAGTTTGGCCGTGGGGAAGAGCGAGACCGTTTGTGGTCTTGCCTATCGCAGCCAAGGCGGTGAGCGGTGAAGTCACATGGCGGTGTTGACAGCTCGCCTTCCCTTTCGGTTGCGATTTGCTTCATTGGATACCTTGGTATATCTTTGGGGATCGATACCTGGCAGATCGCCTTTACAAGGGAAGCGGAGCTTAGTGTGGCTCTTCTGCTGGCCTGCCTTACCTTTTTGATCCGCCGGTTACCAAGAATCAAAGGCTCTTGTTTACTGACAAGATGTCCGCTAAGGTATCGGAGCAGGACATAGGCCAGTCGGTGCTGGATTTCGTGACCGATGGTACTTATCCAGGGTCGGAGCAGGTTGTCGCCTCTGACTTTTCTGGCTCTATCTTGGCGAAGGAATTGGAGCTGATATCGAAGGCTAGAGAGCAAGTTGAAGTAAGTAGTATCTAATGCGGAGCCCCGCACAAGTAGCAGCCCAGATGGCGTTATAACTAAATGAGAATTTCTTCCAATAGGCCGAGATCAACTTCCTCAGTCGTGAAAACAACTTCGATGCGGACGGATGGATTTCACAGGCCAAGCAGCTTCATGCAGACATTGAACGTTCTAGAGTCACTGCGAGGGAAATCGTCGAGCAACATGAGAAAACGCAACCTTTGCAATTGAAAGTGGAAGATGCTTCTGCGAAAGTTGGTCTCATTGAGACCGAAATCGCGTTCAATCAGGCGGTAACCAGCGCGCTGACAGAAGTACAAAAGCTGTGCAAACAACTAGACGACGGACGAGCAGCTCTCGGGGAGGGCCGCACCATGGCTGCCATTGACACATTGGAATCCACTGAACACGCCGTCAAGCGAAGCAGTCATTTCACAAACACAAACGTTCTACATATACTGCTAGAGAATGCCGCCGGGCTGCGGAAAGATATCATGGATGCTGTCCGTAACCGCTGGAACGAACAGCTACATATCGATAAGACGGAGGGAAAGCTGACCATTTCCAAGGACAGCGGTATGATTTTTCTGTTGGATGGTGCCAGGTCATTCAAGCTCACTAACATATTTCATAGATGATACATTGCACGAGACTATCGTGGCCTTGACCAGGCTTGAGATGTTCCCCTCAGCAAGGGATAGGTTCCAAAAGGAATTGATATCGAAGATAATTGATCCGATATTGCTGCCTGGAGCCACTGGGCGTAGCCATGAGTGCCATATTTCAGGGTCTACGATATACCTTGACCCGCAGCCATCAACGGCATCAATACCAGAGCTGCTTGAACGCCTAGTCAAGGTATTGGGCTTCTTGAAGCAATATGTTCCCGCGCTTATTGTGGAATCATTCTCGGAAATGTTCATTCCCTCGCTGTCTTCCAAGATAATCGAATTGTGGCTATCACCTGCTATTCCAACCGATCTTGAAGGCTTGGGACAGTTTGAGCAAATGCTCGACCATGTCCTCAAATTCACGAAGAACATTGAGAGTTATGAGTGGCGCGGCCAAGAAGAACTCATCTCTTGGGTCAACCAGGCTCCACGTCTCTGGATAGCTAGAAGGCGCGTTGATTCATTGGATCAAGTTCGGAGAATTCTCGCTGCTTCCCAAGGCACTACACAACAGGTTGAGAGAATTGAAGTCGAGAAGGTCTCCGGGAGTGATGAAGCGCTGCTGGAGAATGCTGCACCTGATGATTGGGACGCTGGTTGGGAAGAAGACAATGAGAGCGGCTCTAAGGGGAAGCAGCCCAGTAATGTCGACGATGAGGAAGACGTGAGTGCATGGGGGCTGGATGATGATACTGAGGAACATGACCCCAAAACGAAAAATGGCACAGCCACGGCATCTGCGGACAATGATGATGATGATGCTGGAGATGCCTGGGGCTGGGGTGATGAGGATGAAGAACAGAACGCCGAGGTCTCAGAGCCTAAGACACCAGTTGTGCCTGCAACTGTCAATGGCAAGGGTGGGGCCAGCCATTCCACTCCCAGAGAGGTTACTTTGAGGGAGAAGTACACCATCACAGACATCCCCGACTCTATTCTGGGTGTCGTCAAGCAACAAGTGGTGGACTCCAATGCCATATCCCAGCCTACGTAAGTCTTTCATGGTCAGAGTTCTATAGTGATTCTAATACGTTGCAGGCATGCCCACTCACGTGTGGTTTCCTCCGGAACAGGACTTCTCGCACTCCCAACTCTGATATTGGCCATGTTCAAAGCCACAGCCTCGACTTTCTACGGTCTCAAATTGAGTGCTGGGCAGATGTATTTATATAACGACAGCCTGTATCTCGCCGGTCAAGTTCGTGATCTCGCAGAGGAGTACCAGATCACCAGGCTTCATGCAGATATCGAAACTCTTGAGAAATATGGAAAACTGGCTTACAGCAAAGAGATGCAGACCCAACGCACAATTGTCACAGACCTTCTAGACGGTGCACAGGGCTTCAGCCAATGCTCAGAGCAACCGTTCCTTGGTGAATGCGAAAATGCGGTCAGCGCAACAGTGGACAGAATTCGCGACGTTTTCAAAGAATGGCAGCCTATCTTGTCGCAGTCTGCGCTTCTTCAATCGATCGGCTCATTGGTTTCAACTGTCATCAGCAAGATGATAATCGAAATTGAGGATTTGGGTGACATTTCAGAGCCCCAGTCACAGCGACTTGTGTCATTTTGCAACCAAGTGACTGGGCTGGAAGATCTATTCATCCCTGAGGGCCCAGATAACACCGAGCGTTCGCCTATGACGGCCGTCTACGTACAAAACTGGTTGAAATTTCAGTATCTGATCAATATATTGGAAAGCTCTCTTGCTGACATCAAATTCCTTTGGCTCGAAGGCGAATTGCGTCTAGAGTTTTCTCCAGACGAGGTCGTGGATCTGATCGAAGCTCTTTTTGCCGAATCCGATTACCGGCGTAAGGCTATCGCGGACATCAGAAGGGCATCACGAGGGCAATAGTCGTTAGCTTTACTTCCATGTATATAAATTTAGCAAAATGGCATATTGTTGTCTTTGGTGCATATTTTTGCTCTTCTACTTATCTGGTACGTAATGTTGCGGCGGGGAATCTCCGCGCTTTGCACAAGTGGCCGCATCGGTTGCCGTATTTTTTTCCTCACTCGGTGGAGTTTTCTCAACTGCACTTTGAAGTGCTCTAGATCGCGCCCTTCATAACCCCCATATTTCCCTTCAGTGCCATTATGAACGGCGTTCAGGATTCGACGTCTGCTGCGGCCTCGTCCCAGTCTGCGCAGAGGCAGGTGCGTGTGCAGCTAGTTAGCAAGCAAGAAGACATTGCGCTGCCTGAGAGCACCGGCCCCATTCTGGTTCCCACAGGTATGAATGCATTTTGGCAGATCGCTGCCAGTCTGCCTTATATACACATACGTTCTCACTAACTTCTTTATCTGTTTGTAGGATTGCGGAGATATGCGCTTTCTACCCTGGTGAACAATCTTTTGGGAAACGACAAGCCGGTGCCATTTGAGTTTTTGATCAATGGCGCATTCCTTCGGACTTCGATCGATGAATACTTGACGGCCAATGGCATATCTGCGGAAACTACTCTGGAAATTGAGTATATCAGAGCGTTGATTCCCCCGCTTCATATTGCTTCGTTCGAGCATGATGACTGGGTTGGCTCGGTGGATGTCCTCTCTGCGACCTCGCCAGCTACCTCTTGGGCTTCTGCGATCGTCTCTCCGGGGCAGGAGAGGATCCTATCGGGCAGCTACGACGGGTTGCTTCGTGTGTGGAATATGTCGTCTCAAATCGTCGCAACCTCACCGTCCCCGGCTGATGGGGGACACGGCGCGTCTATCAAGGCCGCCAAGTTCGTCTCGCCGAATTCGATCGTGTCGGCTGGCCTTGATCGCACCGTTCGACTCTGGAAATACAACGAAAACGATGATGGATTCTCAGGAAAGATCACCCCGCAGATTGAGCTCTACGGACACAAATCTGGTATCAACTCGTTGGCTGTGCATGCCCCCTCGAACCGTATTCTCTCCGCTTCGGCAGACCACAACATTGGCTTCTGGTCGACAAAGAAGTCAGATGCCCCAGCTGCTCCCGAGAACCTAGTTTCGTCTGCTGCGTCACGGAGCTCCAAGCGCAGAAAGGTGAGCTCGTCCGTCAGCACCCCGCAGCGCGGCCCGCTTGCGCTGTTGTCTTCCCACACCGCGCCAGTCTCAGCTGCCATCTTTGACACGAACGACTCGACTGTCGGTTACTCTACTTCTTGGGATCACTCTCTGCGTACATGGGATCTGGTCACGGCCGCTTTAGTAGACACCAGATCGACATCCCATTCGTTGCTATCTCTCGAGCATCTCCCCGAGCACCACCTTCTTGCGACAGGTACTTCTGCTCGCCACATCACTCTCATCGACCCTCGTACGTCAGCGACAACAATCTCCGCCATGACCCTCAGAGGCCACACCAATGCCGTGGTTTCTCTTTCCCGCGATCCCCACAGCAGCTACGGTCTCATTAGTGGCAGTCACGACGGTACCTGCCGAATCTGGGATATCCGTGCTACAAAGACGGATAAGGACGGTGTTGTTGGCGAGAGCGTGTATTCGATTACTCGGAGAAGCTTGGAAGAGCAAGGTAAAGCGGATGCTAAGCGAGTAGGTGGAGAGGGAGTCAAGGTCTTCAGTGTGTGCTGGGACCGTTCGGTTGGCATTGTTAGCGCCGGTGAGGATAAGAGGATTCAGATCAACCGGGGTGAAGGCGTATTGTCTTCCGCATAAGAGGAGTTGCACATATGGTTCCGGCGTTATACTTATAGGATGAAAAGTTTGGTTCTGACTCTTTGTATTAAACAAGCCGCTGTACGAGCTGATGTTTCCACTTGCAATATATCATATAATTGCTCTAAGAGGCAGCATGGAATCACTACTATGATCTCCTTAGAGTCTCAATGTTTCATTGTCTACATAAAATACATCTCCAGGGTGGAGAAGGTCAAGCCAGAACACTAATTTACAAAAGCAAGTTTATAACGCCATTCCATGCCCCAACTGAAACGAAGCCGCAAGACCACTGGGGTCGATAAATGAATCATCATGTTAACCTCACAGTCTTCTTTCCATACGGTTGAGCTTGACAGCAGATTTAATCTAGAAATCATGTTAGTAAAATTCTTGCTCTGTGTAGTACCCCTCGACCACATCCACCAGCGAAGTGCTCCAACACTCCCTGGTATCATAGTTGGAGATATTTAAACATGGGTGTAAACCAACCTGGCTCCTCGTCCGCTGTCCCCGAACGGGCAAACCGAGCGCATGACGCCGACCACGGTAGGTTCCCGTCTCCTTCAGACGCTTGATGTTATCGAGGTACTGTCTGCGAAGGTCGTTCTCAATCTTCATATCGGACAAGGCGGCCGTGATATCGAGGACCTGCTTGTTCGCCAAGTCGCCAACCTTGCATGTTGGGTGGATGTGGAAGCGGGCAAGGAGACGGGTCGAGGTCAAGTTACCGATGCCGAAGAAGGACTCGAGCGATTTCTGAATTCAGTCAGACTAGGCGTTGAAGGAAAGATGGAAGTTCGGAGTTGCTTGCCTTGACGAGGTTTCGCTCGGGGAAGTTCACGCCCAAAATGAAAACCTAATTGCTTATTAGCCACACATTTGAGAGAGACTTTCTACTGGCATAGTATTAATACATACCATCTTGACGGTTTGGCTTGTTCAGTGCTCCAGGGGATGTGATATGGCTCAAAATGCCTATGCGCTGCGCTATTCTTCTATCAACCTCCGCAGTCTGGCTCAATTCAGCGCGGAAGAAATCGACCAGTAACAATGTTTCTCCGAACAGATTTGAGTAATTTTGACTTTTGCATACAAAAAGTACAACCTGATTTCTCCACGGTTGCGGTGCGGTGAATGAAAATTTCAAGTAATAACTGCAAAGATACAGTCATACTAATCCCGATACGGTTATGGTGCTCTTGGCATCTCCGCAGTAATGCAAGCTGGCCTCCATTCGCCGCATGATTGCTCCTTGAGTCTCCTGTGTTTTCAAGCAATTGTTAGAATTCTCCTACATTGGAGACATCCTGAGCAATCATGAACTTCAAGAACCTTTTCCTGTCTTTCTTCTTCGTCCTGGCGGTTGGACTTGCTCTTGTCCACGCCGAAGAAGCTCAGCCCCGGGGTCCCAAGATCACCAGTAAGGTATGTATAGATGTGATCTTCGGCGCTTACAACCATTGTGAATTGCTTTCCAAGTATGACATACTAACTGCATTTACATACAGGTGTTCTTTGATATCGAGCACGGAGACAAGCCTCTGGGCAGAGTCGTGCTTGGCTTGTATGGCAAGACTGTCCCTAAGGTACGTGATCGTCGTCATGCTATTGTCACTCGGAGCTCCTAGACTGATAATATTACTTTTGCTTTTTTAGACCGCTGAGAACTTCCGGTATGATTCATGAGCTCAATGAAGCTTCTGCGCCATTCTAACATAGCTTGTATTCAGTGCTCTCGCTACTGGTGAGAAGGGGTTTGGCTATGAAGGATCTACCTTCCACCGTGTCATCAAGGACTTCATGATCCAGGGTGGTGACTTCACTCGTGGCGATGGTCAGTACTACAAGGATCTTCATTATATGTGTACAATGCCCCTGCCATATGCTGACACTTCAAACGAAAGGTACCGGTGGGAAGTCTATCTACGGTGAGAAGTTCGCCGATGAGAACTTCAAGCTGAGGCACACGCGCAAGGGTCTGCTGAGCATGGCCAACGCCGGCAAGGACACCAACGGCTCCCAGTTCTTCATCACCACTGTTCCTACCCCGTAAGTCCGTGCCAATCCTGTATAGCGATGACAGCCAGCTTACAATTTCGGGATAGTTGGCTTGATGGCCGCCACGTTGTCTTCGGCGAAGTGCTCGAGGGCTACGAGATTATCGCTCAGATCGAGAACGTGCCCAAGGGCCGTTCTGACAGACCCGTGGAAACTGTCAAGATCGTCAAGAGCGGAGAGCTGGAGTCCGAGGACAAGGCCGAAGAAAAAGGTAGCAGCCATGAGGAGCTGTAGACCTGTTTCCTGAGGTCTCAGCCTGCTTCTCGATAAGACTGTGATGTGCTGATCGCTTGTAAAGAAACGAGCTCTGAAGAAGAGTCACAACCTTCAGCAATTGCTGTTGTTCCTTCTCCAACCCCTTTGTCTATGACATCTGATAACGCTCCTTATATCTTTCCGAAATTCGCAGCGCTTGCCATTGTTGTCGGTCTCTTGGTCGTCCTGGTCCGACGCAGCTTTAAGGGAGAACAGGAGAAGGCTGAGAGGAGCATTGTTTAGAAAAAGATTGTACTCATCCAAATACATGGAAAGAATTGCTCAGTAATTTTACCCTCTGCTGCAGCCCGTACTCCACGTCTTCCTTGCAGTGTACGACTACAAAGTACTGCAGGCCGTATTCAAGTGCCACATGACGAGCCGACGCATAACCCACGCCTTAAAACAGCCGTGGCAAGCGCGCCAGGAGCAAGTGCTGTGAGATCATCTTCCAGTGGCAAGTAAGAGAAAGGCTTGGCCTCCGGTTGGGCCAACGAAGTACTTTTTTGGTAAGCTCCACTGGCAGGCAGCGGCAAGGATGCGCCCACCACCTAGTCTACCTTTGGAACAGTCCAAGTACTCCTGCCACCCCTAACCATCTAGTACTTTGTTAGTCAGTGGTATGATAGGCACCGTCCAGTAGGAAAGTTTTTCTCGACGATAAGATTTGCTCGTTGCCTACCAGACTTCGCCGACCCCACGCTGACGATCTGAGTGGGAGACCATTCCACCTGCGGAGTAAGGTTATTTCCTCCCAGGAGTAACGCCATTCCATTGAGGTTCCTCTGCGGTCATTGGGACTTGGGGATTTACAATGTCTAGCTTGCTTTCAGCATGACCGTCACGAACTATGGATTTTATAGTCATACTTCGAATATAAAGATTCCGTTCAATCGGGTGTAAGTAACAAACAGGTGACCTGTTATATACAGCAGTTGGGCACGGACAGCATGAACGACAACAGTACTATCATCATCCAAGGCCTCTCAACGGGGATTTAGTAATGCACAATGATGCTTAAATCACGTCAATCCTGGAGGGCAAGTGCCCACTTTTTGGCGTTGTAAGCCTAGTATGGGACGATCATACTCCGTACTGTAAGACAAATTCTTGTATGCTGTGGTCAGGAGTTAAGGAATTACAATTTCAAACATTGCTACAGTCAGAAGTTCTGATCACCGAGGATCAGTCAACATACCAGGGCGCAGAAGCCGATCAGTTTCCACGATACAGCGACGACGTTGACATTGTAAAACAGGAAGACGCCGGAGGCGAAGTATACATCGCCATGGCCGGGGTGCCAAGTAAGGATGCGCTTGGCTGGAGAGGGTACATCACGTGGCCGTGACTGTATCTACGGGGGGAGGCGAGCCTGAGGCAAACGGCAGAGTTTTTTTAGACCTCGTCAGATTGGCTCAAACCGGATCAACTGGTGAACAAGTCGCTGCTACTAGTACCCTAGAGAGTATAGAATGTGGGATTTCGGCCAACAACCCTAGGATCTTGCAGCTGGCCAAAAGTTCCAAATAGAAAATGTATTATGGCTTCTAGTCGAATCGACAGCGTTTCAATGCGGGAAGTTCCTTGATCTTGATCAGAGTTTTACACTTTTTGATCCATGAATTGTTCTTGATCCGGTTGACCAAAGGGGACAAGCAGAGACAGCGCGAGAAGGAACTTCCAGCAAGTGAGTAGTGACGGAGGTACAACAGGGCCAAAATAGACAGGGCCCAGCCCATCATCATCTGGCAACACAGGCAGAACCGCCAGAACCAAATACGCCGCCACTCTGTTTCGTTTAGCCTTTTTAGAATTTTCTCTGGATTTTTCCCATTCCCCCTTCCTGTTTGGTGCAATGGCCGTTTGGCCTGCGCTGGCCGGCTTGCCCTCCTGCTGCTGCTTCCCTTCGCTTCTTTTTTGCACGCTGAACCTTTTTTTCTCACCCGGACCGTCCCCAATAATCCCATCGCCGGGCTGCCAATAAGCAAGCAAAACCTTCCCAGTGCGCAGGCCTGCCAACCACTGCCAGTGCATTATTCCCTTAGTTTCGTAGTCATCGTCTTTGCCTCTCCTCCCCGTTCTCCGTCCCACAAACCTTCTTCCTCTTCCCTACTTCTTTTCCTCCCATCCCCTCTAAACCTCCCCTCCTAATCCAGTCTGGTTTCAATTTTTTTTTCTCCAATATCTCCACATCATATCCTATTCTCTTCCCCTTCCCCCCTTTTTTCTTCTCTCTTTCTACACCGTAATAGAGGTTTAGATCTGGGAGATCGTCTTGTTCTTCGTTTAGTATTCCTCCCCAAGGTCTTTCTTTACCCTGTTCCTCTTTCTCGCTCTGTGTTACTTATTGATCCCCTGTGTATTGCCACTCGATAGAGACGCGGGGACTTTTTACTTCACTTTTTCATTTTCTTTCCTTTTGTCCTGTACAGAAGAAAAGAAATTTGCAGTGTTCGCCCGCAAGGACAACATCCGCTGAAAAATCGCTTTGTTCAACTACCAGCATAGTACGTTTTTTTTTTCTTCTTCTGTGCCGGCTCCTTCCAACGACATCCAACGCGTTTTGCTCATCTGTCTTCGGTGTCCACAGTTCGAAATACCGCAAATATGGCCGACAGCTTGAAGATGGGAAACCTTTCCCTCAACGAGTCTCAGCACGCTCCTGCCGCTGCCCCCAACACGGGTCGCGCCGCTTACATCCCTCCCCATCTTCGCGGACGCCAGATGGCTGGAAACATGGACGGTGCTGCCGCTGCCCCTCCCCCCGGTCCCGCCGCTGGCCCTGGCAACTCCTGGGGTGGTCCTAGGTATGTGATATTGCATTACGGGCGTGTCCCATTTCGCGTTGTGTGTAGTGACTAACTGGCATGATTTTGCAGAGGCGGCCCTCGCGGTGGTCAGCAGTGGGCCAACGCCAACGCCCCCGATTTCAGCCCTCGCGGTCCCAATGGTAACACTAGCTGGAGCCCTCACGAAGCTCGCCGGCCCTTTAATCCAAATGCTTACGGACACCCAGGTCACGGAGGCTCTTATGGAGGAAGTGGAGGTGGTTCTGCCCGAGGCTCTGGAGATGGCCAGTGGCGTGACGGCAAGCACATTCCCGGTCCTGCCAATCCCCGTCTCGAACGCGAGCTTTTCGGTCTTCCCAACGATCCCACCAAGCAGAACACCGGTATCAACTTCGCCAATTACGACGACATCCCCGTGGAGGCCTCTGGTCACGATGTCCCGGAGCCGGTCAACGCATTCACCAACCCGCCCCTGGATGACCACCTGATCGAGAACATCAAGCTCGCCCACTACCAGACTCCCACCCCCGTCCAGAAGTACTCCATCCCCATTGTCATGAACGGCCGCGATTTGATGGCCTGCGCCCAGACTGGTTCCGGAAAGACTGGTGGTTTCCTCTTCCCTATTTTGTCTCAGGCTTATCAGAACGGTCCTTCCGCTGCTCCTGCCCAGGCTGGCGGTCAATTCGGTTACGGACGTCAACGCAAGGCGTACCCGACCTCCCTCATTCTGGCCCCCACCCGTGAGCTTGTTTCCCAGATTTTCGACGAGGCTCGTAAGTTCGCCTACCGCTCCTGGGTCCGCCCTTGCGTTGTTTACGGTGGTGCCGATATCGGTTCCCAGCTCCGCCAGATTGAGCGCGGATGTGATCTTCTGGTCGCTACCCCTGGTCGTCTTGTCGATCTTATCGAGCGTGGCCGCATCTCTCTGGTCAACATCAAGTACCTGATTCTGGATGAGGCCGATCGTATGTTGGACATGGGTTTCGAGCCCCAGATTCGCCGCATTGTGGAAGGCGAGGATATGCCCCACGTGAATGACCGCCAGACGCTGATGTTTTCGGCCACTTTCCCCCGTGACATCCAGATGCTGGCTCGCGACTTCTTGAAGGACTACGTCTTCCTGTCCGTCGGCCGTGTCGGTTCTACCTCTGAGAACATCACCCAGAAGGTCGAATATGTCGAAGACCACGACAAGCGCTCCGTCCTCTTGGATATCCTCCACACCCACGGCACTAGCGGCCTCACCCTCATCTTCGTCGAGACTAAGCGTATGGCCGATTCTCTGTCCGACTTCCTTCTTAACCAGCGTTTCCCCGCCACCGCTATTCACGGTGATCGTACCCAGCGTGAGCGTGAGCGTGCTTTGGAAATGTTCCGCTCTGGCCGTTGCCCTATCCTTGTTGCCACTGCTGTTGCTGCTCGTGGTCTCGATATCCCCAATGTCACCCACGTCATCAACTACGACTTGCCCACCGACATCGATGACTATGTTCACCGTATTGGTCGTACTGGTCGTGCCGGTAACACTGGTATTGCCACTGCTTTCTTCAACCGTGGCAACCGGGGTGTTGTCCGCGACCTGATCGATCTTCTGAAGGAGGCTCACCAGGAGGTCCCCTCGTTCCTCGAGAGCATTGCTCGTGAGGGCAGCGGCTATGGTGGTCGTGGCGGCCGTGGTGGTCGTGGTCGTGGCGCCAACGCTACCCGTGACATGCGTCGCGTGGGTGGTGGTATGGGCGGTCCTCCCTCCTTTGGCGGCAGTAGCTACGGTGCACCTGGCGGCAGCTATGGTGGCGGCGGCAGCAGCTATGGCGCCCCTCCCTCCTATGGAGGCGGTGGTGGCTATGGCGGCGGCGGCGGCGGCAGCTACGGTGGTGGCTACGGCAACCCCTCCGGCCCTACTGGACCTTCTTCCTGGTGGTAAATTAATCACTAGGGGAAGTTGTGGTCTCTGACGAGGCCGTCGGGTCTGATTGGCTTCTTTTTCTTCATTTGCCTCTCCTTTGACGGATACGATCAGAACGAGTCCTGAGTTCTTCTTCTCTTTCTTCTCATCCCTATTTTTCTCTCTCTCTCCCTCAGGGCCGGCTTTGTCATGACCGCCACGACATAACCTTAGATGCGTTCTAAGAATCTGTTTTTCTCTGCTTGTTGTCTTTTCTATTTCGTTATTCTCCTATGTGCAGGTGTTTTTTTCTGCTGCTGAGCATTTTATCAATGTTGCCTATTTCATCGTTTTGTTTTAGACATGGGTTTCGATGTGGTCCGATCTCCTTATCTCGCTGCTCGTGGTTATACCCGTTTATAATCGAGAGCATTCGGGTCGGCATTGCATGGATATCATAGAATGCGTTGTCTTTCTCCTGCGACCGCTTCATCAGATACCCTTTTTGTTCTCAGGCGGCCATACGGAGATCCGCTTGAACGACGCGTGCCGAGCGGGGGTGCCGG